ACAATCTGTCTGTATGAGATTCTGCGACCTTGAGCATCTTTATGGGGGGGAATTAAACTTTACCACAATATTGCTTATTTAATTACATGCAATCCTAGGTTGGGATCCTTTGATCTAGCGAGAAAAAACTGAATGACCCAGCATTGGGAAGTTTGGTTAATCATTCAAGGAAGTAGACATTATCCTGTCTCCCAACCCCAGGGGACCTCAGTGACAGCCGAGTAAGATAGCCTTACTGTCCTTCCCCCGTGTGAGTTTTCTGAGGTAAAGGGCAATTACCTGGCTCTTTTCCTCCTCCTTACACTCTGCCAAGAAAAAGCTGCGAGAAACCGAAGCACATTTGCTTTTTAAGTGAGGGAAATCACTGGACCTGAACTTATTACTTGAGCTAGGTGATTGTTTTCGTGTGTTTTCTTTTCTTGCCTGCCTCTCTGCTTCCCTCAGTCTTTACGCTGGGAGTGATTAGTACGAAAAATGCAGAACACATGATGTCGCCTGTGGCGTTACATGAGCTTTTAATTGCAAAGGGCATATGTGCTGTTTTTAAGGAAAGACCCTGGCTCTGACAGAGATGACCCTGTCTAGTTGTTTCCTGTCCTGAGGCTGCTCAGAGTCTAGGATGCAGTTGCAGGGTCATCATCTTTGCTTTCAGTCAGAGTAGTTGGATCGATTGCTGCCTCCCAGACACGTAAGCTTCGTAGTACCAAAGGCAATCATTTATTGCATTTTCTAGTAGTTGACATCTTGGCTATTTAGTCTGACAGTAAATGTTTTTAGTGACATTCTTCCATAAATAACTCTGTGGCATAATGTAATTATGCATATCAAAGGTGCAGTGCTTGTCGTAGCTACAGTGTCAATAGCATGGGAATTAGAAGTGCTAAAGGGCCTGTAGAGCACCCTAAAAACAGGCATAATACATTCAATAAAATTACAGTTTTTTAGCAGTATTGGTCCATTATTCTATCCTCGCAATGAAGACTGACAGTGAGAGAGCTACATATGGATCTGAAATGAAGGATCCATGGTAAAATACCCCAAAAAACATGATTTTTAGTACAATTTCCTTATGTTGAATGAGTTTCTTGCAGCACTCCCAAATCCAATAGATAACCACAAGGAGGTCCAGGGCATAATGAGTGTCCTGCTCAGTGGATCACATTATGAGCTATATGCATGATCAGTGTCAGTCTATCTTTTAGGAATATTTTTTTCATTGTCAGATTGAGGAAGCAGGCTTATCTCTTGGAATACAGATTCACGGGACATTAACTCATGTTTCAGGGTGAAAATCAAGTTTAGCCCCAAGACACAGATTAATCCATATAAAGCTGGTAGCCATAATGTTAATATACAATGTATGCCTCGTGATCGAATGGACAGCCGAGTAACCTTGGCTTCTTGAGCACCACCGCAAATCCCAAGATCATGCCCTGTATATCAGTGATTGGATTGTGGGGAACGAGCCTGGATTTTAGAGTGGGCAAATACCCGCAAGGTCTTCATGACTCCTAGGATGCATTAAGATACTTTTTGGGAATATGGGTCAGTCTGGGTCTGGACCCTTGTGGTGTTTGTACATAGGGGTGTGAGAGCATTCCATTCACTGTGCACGTTGTTGCTGATGGGCTCGCATGGTTTGTTGTTCATTACTGGAATTGCTTTTCGCATTGAGCGCAGAGAATTGTAGGTTTTTTTAATCACCTCCTCAGAAGCAAAGGCTCCCTCAAGCTTAGTTTAACTTTGTGTGTGTCTCTGTGTGTGAGATGGAGAATAAATGAGAGAGAAGAGAAAAAGAGTGCTCCAGCAAGTGAGAGGGTTAAGGGAGAAGGAGAATCTTGCCTCGGGCACCAATCGATCAGATCCCTGCAATAGAACTCCCAGCTTCCCTTTGGTGAAGCTGTGTATTGCATTAGCTCATCTCACATTCTCTGTCTGGAAGCAAAGAAGGGGGGGGGGGGGGGATAGAAAGCAGGAGAGAGGGTGGTTGAAAGCAGCAGAGGAGAGGGAAGGGCAGCGCTTTGAAATAACGGGAGAGTTATACGACTCAAAGCCAAGCGAGAAAGAGACTCTGAACATCTTGGTTCAGCAGTGAAGTGTGCACTCTACTCCTCTCTTGTTTCTGCCTCAGATTTGGTCTTCAGAGTGTGTTGTAGCAGAAGAGTGAAGTTAACTGCTCTGCCATCTTCTGAAATCATGCACCTGTAGAGGGGGGCGTCTCTGTGCTATGACAGAGTAATCCTTTATTCCGCCTGTGTCTTTTTCCCTGGTTAGGGGTAATGGAGCTGAAGGAACTGGGGTCACTCAAAGTGTCTGTGGGGATCAGCACATCAAAGCACGTGCACACACACACACACACACACACACACACACACACACACACACACACACACACACACACACACACACACACACACACACACACACTTAGTGAATTCAATCAGGAACATGGAAAGCATAATAGCATTGTGTAACTGATACATTCTCGCACCCACTCAAACGCCCTGAAAACATACACGCCCACTCACACACTTTTTAGAGTCCAATGCTGAATTGACAGCATATTTACCTACTTAGCTTCCCTGTAACAGGACACTTTATATTTAATGCTCGGTTTTGCATGTTAATAATGCAGATCTGCTGTAATCATCTACAGTAAACAGGCACAGATCAAACACCGCACTGCCTGCTGCACAGCTCTCCGCACAGTGGGCCACATCTAAATAGTTAATGGTTCCCCCATAAAATCCCAAACTTCAGACCATTTTTTAATTAGAGGGGGGCTATCTAAATCAGGAAGGGAACGGGGAGAGCAGATAGCAGCGGAGCTCATCAAAGTCCTCTTTAATAAAACATATTAGCCTGCCTTTCCTGGTGTTGAATGGCAATGGTAGTGGTGCAGTCACTGTGGTGATAATGGGCCTGTGGAAGTTAGCATAGCGAGTAGTGTTAGATCAGCTCTTTGCTTTATTATGCTGCCCGGACCAAAGGGCTTGGCCTCGTTAACATATGGTTTGTAGGTTCAAGAGCCTCTGACGGGAGTAGATTACAAAATGGAGGTTAATTAGCCTGGTAGTGGTTCAGGCAGCTCCAATAGCCAGGAAGCAGAGACATGTATTTTTTATACACTTTACTCCACGTCACATAGCAGACTTATTCATTCTTGCTCCAGGCTTGATATGACACTCTCTCAGTCTATTTCTCCATCTGTTTCTGTCTTTATGTGTTACTCTCCAAAGACGTCCTTTTCATATCCTCTGAGTTGCTATAGAATGACATTCAGCATTACACTGATTTGTGTGTGAGGCTTACTGTTTGTGTGGCCACTGAAAAATTAATCATCAACTGATTGGCTTTAGTCTATTCGCTCTAAATACAGTAGTTTTGAATGGCTCATTTTGAATACTGTTTTGTAATATTGCATCCATTAAATTGTAATTGTATCTCTAACACCATTTAACCTCAAGTGCAGAATATCAATTCATTAATTTCAACTATAGGCTGGCTGAAAACATTTATTTGTGTGTGATGAAAAAAAAATGGTATCTTTTTATTTTGTGGCTCATTGGATACAATTACAGCCGTTCACAACCATTGCACTTTCTTTATGTTTGTTAAGGATATAAACACAAAAGTGTAAAAAAGTCCACCCTGTCATAGTTTAGGAATAACTTGACAAGACTTGTAATCATGATGTCCTTCATTGGGGTACTGGATTAATTATATGTCATTGACCACATTACACATGCGTAAAGTGATTAATCTTTCCACAGAGCTGTCACTGATTATGCTGACTATACGTAAAATATATGGCGACCACAAGAAGATGCCTCCTCAGCACCACATTTGTATAGGGTAACGGGGGATGGGTGGAGGGCACAGAGATGAGACATTGTGGCAAGTTCACGGGATGCTGGGTAAATTAATTGCTGGCCTGTGCCTCCAATTAGACCAGACTCTTTTTAATTGGTCCTGAAAGGGCTCCAAAGGCCTATGTTGGGAGATATGGCAAGTGGGGGGAAAAAACCTGCTCTCATCCTCTCACACACACATACACATACTATTGTGTGTAGGCACACAACCACCAAGTCCCACCCCTCAGGAATTAACAACAGGAAGCTAATTTGCATGTAAAGCAGGTTTGATAGCCACAGCTGACTGGTCGGAGAGCAACAGTAATGGCCTGAGATTGCACTGAGGTGTTAACCCCCTTGGCATTGCTGTTGGCAGCTCTGTCTTTGTTCAATATGTAATCTCTACTCCTTCTTTGTCCCAAAGTTAGGCACTGCATCCATATCTTATCTTGTATCTTTTAATTTCCTTTTGCTTTAAAGGTGTGTCATATTCTTGTGTACTGCTGCTTTCTATTTATCCCTTTTTGCTCTTTGATCTGAGAAATGAGTCACATAGCTGGAGCATTGCTAGGGTTTGCTAAAGGAGCTGTAAGTGTAATTCAAGGATGACTTCTCTCACAAAATGGTAGTTAATTTGCTCTTTATTTGCATTTGCAGTACCTGTTATTGTACCTGAAATAATACGGTCCACTCCTTTCCAATTATATTTTCTGCATTTGGTTAAGGAGCTAAGAAGCATACTTTTCGATCAATATTGAGTCTATATAGTAAGTTTCTCAACAAGTTAAAAAGTTTAAAATTGTGTCTGCAGAGCTGAACAGAAGAACAGAAAGGCACTATAGGTTTACACAGTCAAACCTTAGAACATAAACCTACATTTGTTTGTACTCTCAATAATTAAATGGAATACTAATCTTGTAGGGTTCAAATATGTATACATATGTGCAAGGTATTCAAATGAGGCTTTCACTGCTAATTACATTAGCCAGAGGAAGGTATAGCTGTCCTTCATAATGTGCTTTTGAGCCCACGATAACATGGTTGCCCTGTGTGCCACATTTTATTATCAAAATAAGGACTTTAAAATCCAATCACGGGTTTAAATGCTGCAAGATGTAAACTTGAACTATTTTCATTTATTTTCAGGATCTCGTCTCCGCCAAGAGGACACCCCACCCCGAATTGTGGAACACCCCTCTGACCTGATTGTCTCCAAAGGGGAGCCCGCCACCCTCAACTGTAAAGCTGAGGGGCGGCCTACCCCGACAGTGGAGTGGTACAAGGATGGAGAGCGGGTGGAAACGGACAGGGACAATCCCCGTTCTCAGCGCATGCTGCTGCCCAGTGGCTCCCTCTTTTTTCTACGCATCGTCCACGGACGACGGAGCAAGCCGGATGAAGGTTCCTATGTCTGTGTTGCCCGCAACTACCTGGGAGAAGCAGCGAGCCACAATGCCTCTCTGGAAGTAGCCAGTAAGTGCAGCATGCCTTCTTGTTTCTTCTTCGCCTCTAGTGTGGGTGTGAATGGAAGAGTTTGGGTTAAGATGCAGCTGAATAGCAGGCTCCAGTTTCCTTCAGTGTTTCCGTGCTCAATGTGTTCATTGAGTTGGATAATCTCTTAGGAGATGGGCAGGATGTGTTTGGCCCAGCGGTCTCTGTAGGCCTGCTGAGCCTTGGGGGAGAAATGGCCTGATCATTCCAGGGTGAGTGCTTCTCTAAAGGTCCCTCTGTAGGTGGTCAAGAGCTACAATGGGAACAAAGCCCTTTTGGTTTGGCCCTGATTCTGCTTTTTGTCAGAGAGATAGATATGAGGTTTTATATCAGAAGGAATGCAATCTTTCATCTGTGTTAAGTCATATTTTAATGAAGAGCTTTCCCAATCATTTCATTGAAGTATCAGAGGTTCCTTTTATTGTCTGCCACACTCACGCTCACGCAACAACGGGCTAGTGTTGATGTAAAGGGGATTTAAGCATCTTTAGGGTCAACAAGCAGGCTTGGAGACATACTGTATTAATGAGTATATTTGGAAGTCAGTGGGTATGCAACGTAGTGAGAGAGAAAAACACTCTTACCATTTAGGCCTAGGCTCCACGGGAACGAAAACGGGTTGAATCCGCATATTTCTCATGCGTATAGCCCTTTAAGCTCGACGACGCCGTAACGGAAACTTAGAAACACACCCTGCAAACGACAACGGGTCCAAAGGTGGATAGATCTGGGAACGGAGCGCTCTGGGGGGTCCAACGGGGCCGTGTGGTCGCCTATACGGTCATCTGTTTCTGATAATGACGACGCAATAGCCCCGCCTCTCCCCGCCTCTGCTGCTCACCCCCGCAAAAGTACACTGCACACTGAATTCAGATTATTTATCTTTATCTCGATATGGACATAAACGCGAGTGAAGTCTAATCTGACAGGACGGAGACACGCAGCTCCTCCCGCTGTGATGCAGCGGGAGCAAAACACACACTTCAAGTCAGATCATCACCCTTAGCTATTTTAATTACCTCTCAAACTACCTAAACTAGTTATAAATATGTTTATTTTTACTGTCGGGTCACTCATTACAGGATCAGCTGCTGCATGAGACAGACACTGACGCTGTCAGAAGAGAGGAAAAAGAGACAGGCTCTGTGTATTTGATGATTATATATCATTATATCGTCGTTATTCATTTGTTTTAAAGCTCAATAAATAACAATGAAGACCTTTGACCGGCACTTTTATAATTTTGTCCGGAAGATTTAAACTTTAACACACGCTGACCGGCGAAAAACTCTGCCCGGTTCCGTCGGCCCCCACCAAGGAGAATAAACAGAAGTGCACCCATGACAACCATTCTTCTTCGCTGCTTTGGTGGAGGAAGTTGCTGCTTTTGTGGAGGAAGTTACAGCGCCACGTACAGGTTCGGCATATGTACTGCAGCTTTTCCAGCGGTTGGATGTAAACGGAGCCGTCTCGTGGAGCTTGACACAATCCGGTGTATATTGCGTGTGGGCGGAAGGTTTTTTGCGGTTGCGTTTGCGTTACTCCGATGCGTTTTGCCGTATGCGTTCCCGTGGAGCCGGGGCCTTAGACTGTCTGTGAGTGTTGACCTGTGTTGACAAATTTGTTCCCATGATTCTTGAAAGGCTGCTTTCGTTGGTGAGGTCAGCTCTTCAGATAGAGTATCTCTGTGCTCTCTTGACTTGCTGAGAGTGAAGGATGAGGAGGAGAGCTCAGATATCAACCACTCTTTTAGCATGCCCAGAGGCTGTCACCAACCCGCTCACTGTAATCTAATCAAGATGGGGGAAGAAAGAAGTATGTGTGTTTGTGTATGTGTGTGTGTTTGTGTGTGTGTGTCTGTTTGTGTGTGTTTAAATGTGTACATGTTTTTGAACATGGAGTATGGGAGGTTGCCTCGCTTGGCAGGGACTCCTTGCTATTTGAGGCTAATGGTCTTGGGAATGAGGTGTTGGTCAGACAGAGTTAGGCTTTCTTTCTCGTATTTAAGCTGTATTAGAGGGAACTCTTGAGGGTACAGATGTGACAAAGCTGCCCTGCTATTAAGGCTGATTTGTGATATTTTAGTAAAATGCATAAGATACCGTTAGAGGCTACTTGATATTGCGCTGGGTGAGTGGTGGTCCAGATGGTGTCTTGTCCTCATATATTCTGCAATATGTAATACCTGCCAAGCTTGTGCACAACAAATTATTCTGCACAATTTAAATGTAATCATCCTAACTTATTTAGAGGCAAATTAATAACATCAAATATGGAAATAAGAAAGCCTCAAGGGAACTCACGTCTCTGGCACACCATAAGTTTCCACAGGTCAGAAAGCTACAAATATTTCCCCAGAAGTAGATGATATATAGTGTTTATTTTAGAGGTGGGTTTTCCAAGTAGAAAAACAAGACACTTGGCAGGACCTACGACGACCAGAGTACAAAGTACCATTGGCTCAATCTCAAGTTTGGGCTGCTTGTTTTGTATAAGGTTCAAAAAGACCCATAATGACAAGCTACTGTGCTCCAGCCCTCTCTATCCTTCTCGCTTAGTTGGTGTCTCTGACTCCCCTCTATGCAGCTCATGCCTAACTACATATAATTATGTTGTCGGAGCAACCGGGATGGAACCTTGCCTAAGAAAAAAGGCAGTATAAAATGAAAAAGCCCAGAAACACTCAGTTGTCTTCACAAGGCTTCATTAAAACTCCAGAGAGAAGAAACTACAAGCAATACATCTGTCTCTTAAGAGTGTATTAGAACGTTTTAGAGCATTGTGAATGTTTTACTGCCATGAAAGATGCTTGTCATACCTTAACTGTTATTCATTGAACAGTGTAGAGGGGCTGTGTTACCCAGATAAAGACTGTGTTGATAGAACAACCAGGCTTTTAATTTCCAATGAAACTCCAAAGAAGGAAGTGGTGGTTTTAATTGTGTTTACTTTGACTAGCTCTCCCCCTCTAACGTTTTCACTTTAAACGCTTAAAACACAACATTTTGGAGATGTTATTCTAAGACCCTGGCTTTTACAGTTTCCCCTACTCAACAGCGATTGTTAACATAATCCAAGTTTCATCAAGTCCTGTTTTGCCAGGCTAGGAGAGCTAACCCAGTTTATTTGGTTTATCATTAACCACATGTACAGTACAGCCCACAATCTCTCTATCTGAGCCTCTTAACCCAAAGCCGGGGCTAATGCACTCACCACGAATCCTGTTTGCCTTGTGTATTCAAACAGTCTTAAGATAGGATTCCTTCCCTATTATGTGATTGTTTGCTTTGCATTAGAGATGTCAACATAACAAAATGTACTTCCTCTCTGCTCAATGACTGCCAGTTGATAAATAATTAAGAGTAAGGCCACATGGAAATACCACCTAAAAGTAATAGGTCATAAATTATGTTTCCATAACCTATTTATCTTTAGATTTCATTCATGCTTTCACCAAAAGCTGAATACATTTGTAAGAGAATTCTGAAGTATTAGAGAATGTGCTCGCTCCTATTAAGCAAATACCAATAAAGATATAGCCACAAAATGTGTGTTGTACTGTAATCTCTATGAAATGTTGCAGTAATTTACCCAGCACAGTGTAAGAGCCCCTGAGAGGCTCTATGAATAGCTTGTTTCCCTTTCCCTGGATTCGGAGATAGTAAAGGGAGGTAATGGACGGCACACTGCTCCACTTGAGCAGGCGATAACCTCAGGGCCCGCTGACTGGTGGCCTGGCTGACTGCACAGTGCTGACCGCACAGGGTTGGCTGTAGGCCTTATATCCACACACAGACTCCTCTCTCCAGAGGCAAAGTTGACTTTTTACAGCCACTAACAACAGAAGCGAAGGGGTGTTTACTTGAATTTGGCATATTGCATATAACTCTAGTCTGCCAAGTTTATCTGAGTACCTAACTGATCTTGATGCTTCTGTGAAATCTCTGTCACCATCTGCAGCCAGCTGGCTTTGCCGAATCTTAGTGGGAGAAGGTCGGGGCATTGGATATGTTGAAGCAGGCAGAGTTCATTGTGACAGATTGGGGGCCATGCTTAAGGGTCATCTACAGAGCGGAGGACAGTTGGCTAGCATGCGCCCGTCTAAAGGCAGCATGGCCACCACCCACGAATATGAAGACCTTTTTGTCTTTGTCTGTCGGATCTCAAAGACTGAGGGTCTTCGTGTTTTGTTCTTCAGCACCCCCAACCTCACACACCTTCTCTTTACAGATCTGAGTTTACTCTATCTAATATTTATTTTTCCTCTGCCCTCACCCATTTATGCTTTCTACTCTCTTTTATTTCCCCCAACAGCTCTCCTCACTTCCCCTTGCCACAGTTTTTGTTTATAATAGTGTTTGCCTTTCATTAACTTATTGCAAGAGTAGCGTTAACGTGCATCAGCTCTCTTTGTTTTTGGATACCATGTTTACTCCTGTAACCTTCTTATTTTGCAAATAATAAAGAATGTAAAACTTTAAACGAGACTGAGGTGAAGAGTCAAATACATTGAGTGAGGTAGAGAAATAGAAGCAGAGAACAAGAACAGAATACAAAACGGTGGACAGCTAGCCCCAGCAGAAGCAGCAGTGAGTGTGTTGGCGAGCTGCCAGGGGACTGTAGGCAGTGTGTTACAGCTCTGTGGCAGTTATTTGTCTCAGGGAGGTTCAGAGCAAATTGGTGCAAACGGCACAGCCAGGGTCTGCTTTGTGAGTCAACACGCAGCAGTGGCGTGGGCTCACACCATAGACCCTCCTTGGCCTCTTCTCCAATCTGTTTTATGTTAGAATGCAGACCCCTTCCACAGTCTGTGTGTGTGCGAGAGGATGTCAAAGCTGAACTCTGACTCGCTTAGAAAACTCTTACCAGTGTAAACAGTTTTGTAGTCATGCAATTGGCGTTCAGACAAATCCCTGTACTTTCATTTAATAAATGATGGCTTATTTTAAGTTTATCTTGCTCTGAAGAGTTGTTGTGTGTGT